AAAACCTTATACTTATAGAATATGAGCATATCCTCCACAAAAAGTATTTGGTTATTCATAAACGTAACCTTTTACTCTAAATAAGAAGGATATCCTTCAATAATTTCGAGTGTGGTCGTGGTCAGTAGCAGACTCAGTCGTGTAGTGATCAGTTGTAGCTGGGAAGTGGGAGAAATTAAACATTACAAGCAGCGTTTATCAACACCTGTTCGTGATTATAAAGAACTATACCGGTTTGAAGAGGAAAATGTGCAATGGCTTGCCAACAGATTTTTGGGAATTAATGCTGAAACTCGAGGAGGTGCGCTATCATCCGTCCTAAAAATGCAGATATATTTACGTTATCTCAGTTACACTGGGTATCAGAAAGGCATTGGTCAAGAACTGGGTGTAAGTCAAGCTACAGTATCTCGTACAGTGACTGCCGTAATCGACAGCCTAGAGTTTTCGTCTTGTTGTATGGCCTTTCGTTCCCTAACTGTTTTTTGTATGTTGTTGCATTTTTTACACCTTTTTTCACAACTTTTTTACACTTTTTTTATACATGACTTTGTAACCTGAATTGTAAGTACCCTTTGGAAGATTTTTTTTAGAAAATTATTTTTATTGTTCTTTGTAGCCCTTTGACCTGAAGATGGTGTAAGTTTTAAACCCCGAAACCATGGTAGTCTAATGAGTGATTATTGAAAAATATTTTTTTTTTTTTGGAATTGTGAGATTTGACTTTTTGTTCTCCTTCAATGAAAAATGAACTCACATTTGTTATCACTTCAACCTTTGAACCTTTTACTTATTCTTGGAGGATATCCTTGCAAGTATAAGGTAATCATTATGAATACGGAAAAAAGGAAATGCTTATACTTCTCCCTTCTTCTTCAACTCAAAACCTTATACTTCTACCTTATACTTACAAGGATATCCTTCAGTTTTATGAATACGGCCCATTAATCATTCTATTTCCAATTTTTATTTTCGTGTTGTTTTCTTTATGTGGAAAATGAATTTGGAAAAATCAAGATGTTCACTCAAAAAGAAATGCTCATTGAATTTGTAAGGCAAAATGAGAAACTTCAAAGTCCTCCGATTTTACCACAGTTTTTAATGATGAAGTTCTAGTTGGAGCCCGTATAAAAGGTGTCAATGAATCAATTAAATTTCGAGGAAGATCTTTGCAAAACGTTTCATGAATTTATTATCCGTTAAATCAAAAAGATTTTTTTCTTCTGTAAAATCTCCTTAAAGGCCTTTCTTCTTGCTCTTCTGCATCTAGTTAATCTAGTAGATCATTCACTACAAGAATTCTTCCTATAACCCCAACTTCCGTGGTTTCCTACGTTTTCGTATTGGACCGTATTTTCTACTTTAACACAATATGCAAATGTACCTACCCAATTGACCTGTCTCGCAGAAATAGAAAAAGAGAGCTTAATTGTAAAAAATACAAGTTAGAAAGTATTGAAAAATGACATGCGTGCGCAACGCGTGGCTGCAATGTAGCCAGATTGTATTGTTGCAGAACAAATGTAGACAATATAAATCGAACATTATAACATTAAAAAAGTGATATATTGTCAAGTGTTCTACAACTGCCTTAAATCAGACAAAAGAAGAGCTTTAAATTGTATGTTAACTTCGATGGCACTTTTATTTTGATAAATGTTTCATCCGGCAACATCACACAATGAAATTGCAAAGGAATGTGTCAAGTATAATCTAACATAACCTTTTAAACGACACTGCGATAAGTTCAAGTAATACGTAAAGTATTAGTTTGCTCTTTGTCAAATAACACGTTACAAAGAAAGAAGGAACGATTAATTCTGAACTCGTCCCTGAATACGAATATGACGCAAGCCCGAAAAAACTCGATTTTCATTGGACGCTCACCTGAAACCCACGAGTTGCGCGCGCACACCAGGTATTACGAGACACGTCAATTGGCAATTACTGATAATAAATGATTTGCAAAACATCAAACAAAAAAATAGCATGGATGATGACCAGGGCCGTATCTAGACCAAAATTTTGGGGGGGGGTTAGACAAAGTGGCAAAATAATATATTAAAGTATAAGTGGATATTGAGGTCTTTAAAACACGCGCGATTTTTCGAGCACGACGGCGCAGCCGGAGTGCTCGAAATAGAGCAAGTGTTTTTAAGACCAGTTATCCACGAATACTTTACACTATTTTTTTTTATTGGTATACGTTCAATCAAATCATAAATTACTAATAATTGTAGAATGCTTAATTAGTGCTTGACACTTGCTATATTTTATTTGACGTTATTTACAAGTACCTACTCCTGACAAATCAATAATTAAAAAGTTGACATTTAGACCTTTCTCGGGTTGTTGATTGATGTTGTCATTGGTAACTTTAAAACACGCGCGTTTTTGAATGTTGGATTTAAACACGCTGAGGAGTACTTTAAATAAGTGAAAGAGGTTATCAATAAAAAAAAAATTGTTACACTAGTAATAAAAATAAAAAAAGTAAATAAGTATTTAATAAGTGTTGTTTGTTTTTAAGTTAAATTCTTTGAATTTTATAATTTTTTGGGGTGGGTTTGAGGTTTTTCGGTATGTAACAGAACTACCTCTATTACCTGGTTTTATCAGTCATTTTTTGCACAGATTTTTTGAAACTAGCCAATATAGTGCCCAATGATTCCTGGTTTTCTGGCGATTCTCCTGACATTAAATATTCCTTTATTTCTGATAATGTCGGTATTAATAATCTAGAAAACTCCGGTGCGACCAAAATCTCACAATTTTTTTTTTAAGAACTGATGAAGGACATAACCTTGACCCTGAACAAAAGGATGTTCTTCAAAAATTATTCAAACTAATTTACATGTTTTTGAGTCTAATAGTCAGCCTACTCTTTTTGCAGAGAATTCTATTAATCTCATAGATGAAACTCCAATTTCTGTACCTACGTATCGCATGTCTGAAAATTGAAATAAGAAAAGAGCAATGGCGAAAAGAAATTGATACATTCTCAGCTGCTGGAACTGTAGAAGAGTGCTAGTCTCCCTATACTGCTCCTGTGCTTCTTAATTGTTCCAGAGAAAAATGGTGGCAGCAGGTTGACTGTTGATTACCGCAAGTTGAATGCTAACACAATAACCGACAGATACCCCTTGCCTCGTATTGATGATACATTATATGCTGCAAAGAAAGCTCGTTTTATGACAACTTTGGATTTAAGTTCTGGTTATCTTCAAGTATCAGTCAAACCTTCTGATCGAGACCAAACTGGTTTCATTTGTCCTTTTGGAACTTCAAGATATACAAGGATGCCATTTGGATTACGAAATGCTCCGTCAACATTTCAAAGACTAATTGATAGATTTGGTTCTGGATATTAACATATTATCTACCTCGATGATATAATTATTTCATCAAACTCATTTGAGCTTCATATTAGTGATTCACAAAAAGATTTTGATCGCTTAAAATTATTCAAACTTCAACGTTCGAAATGCAAATTTTCTTGTTCTTCTGTCAATTACCTCGGTCGTGTAATAACTTCGTCTGGTAGTGCTCCGAGCCCAGATAAAGTTTGTGCTATTTCTAAAATACCAAATTCTCGGAATGTCGGTCTTTCTTTTGTTCCTGGTTTCGACGTTCTATTAAAAACTTCGCAGAAATTTCAAAACCTCTTACTTTTCCCATTAAAAAAAAAATCTAATAGATTTGGGGTGCAGATCAAGTCAAGGCTTTTGAAAATCTGAAATCGCTTTCAATGTCTAGCCCTTTTCTTCAGCAAGCTGACCCTAATAAACTATTTAATCTCAAGACGGATGCCTTTAGCTATGCTATTGGCGCATATTTACTCCAGGGGGAGGGGTCAGAAGAAAGACCTATAGAATACGCCAGTCGTTTATTAAAATCAGTTGAGCAAAATTGTGCTCGTTGCCTAATAGATGAAGTTATAATTAGATATTGCGTTCCCAGACGTGTTATATAAGTGATAATGGTTCCCAGTTTGTAAGTGCAATAATGAAGTTGCATATTGCCCAGTATTTGACCAAATTTTAATTCCCATATTATACCACCCAGAAGCTAACCCTACAGAACGGAAAAATCGAGATATAAGACTCAGCTTTTCATACTTGTGGGTAATGACCATACAAAATGGAAAGAGAAACTTCCAGCAGCCCGTTTTTCTATGAACACAGTGTATTCCCAAGCTACCGCGCGGTTGTTCCGCTGCTCACCTCACTTTTGGAAGAGAGTTAAGAAGAACTCCTGATGAAACATTGTGGAAAATGACAATTGTGTGTGAAATTACTTCTTACCTGAGAACTTTACCTACCATTCTTCGTCAAGCCAGAGATGTTAATGAAATTCAACAAGATAAATCTAAGAAATATGCTGACAAGAACAGAAGAGAAGCATCTATATTCCAGTGTGGTGAAAAAGTTCTTGTTGATAGTCACTGCCTTAGTAATGCTAAATATTGTTTATCGACTTAATTTGCTCCAAAAAGAGATGGCCCATATCAAATTATGAAAATGGTATCCCCAACTACTTATGAGATTGCATCACTAGATGATTCACAAAAAGTACTCTTCGCAAATAGTGAAAATTTCAGCACTGCATTTATTATTTGTGCAAGTTCAAAAGGTTTCGTCACTTTTTCAAAACCTTTTTTTTTTAATATGTAGGTATAGCCATTTAAAAGTAATAATTTGCTGCCGCGCTGACTTGATCAAAACTCAAATTCACTCATTTTATACTTTGTGTTTACACCAGTTGACACTGAAATAAACTAAATTCAAATTATGTTTGCCAACATAGGGTAAGCTTAAAGACCCTTAATTCCATTAAAAGGTCATTATAATAATTTCAAGAAATTTGGAAAATTGGGGATTTTCCTAATTTTGTAATTTTTACCTGCTTTTATTTGGTCCTCAGTTTACCTGTCAGATTAATTACTCCTGTCTTCAGCTTGCATGTCATAAAGGGATCGAGTCCTCAGTTTACATACTCCGTTCAAATAAAAGTCACATGATACTTAGCTTATCATTTATACAAAATCTTGCGTAGTAACAAAAATTAAATTTTTAACCACCAAATCGCACCAAGATTCAAAAAATATTGCTTCTAAACCTTAAACAAATAAACTCATTACATAAAACTACAGAATAGCTACCTATATATTCTTTGATAAAACAGGTCATTGGATAAAACCTATACCTTTTTTTTAAACGGTCATTCGCTTACATACTTTCACGCAGCGCAAATCGCGTGGATTCTATAAGAGCTTGCTTTGGCAAATTTAAATTTTCATAAAAACGAGTAAATAGTTGAAAATGCGTGTAGCAATTATCGGAGCAGGTGCTGCCGGTTTGACAACGGCAAAACATGTAGCAAGTTCCAATATGGATCTGGATGTTTTTGAAATGAGAGAAGAATTGGGTGGTGTTTGGGCTTATACTGATGATGTTGGTGAGGATCGGTACGGGTATCCAGTGTATTCTGCTATGTATAAAGGCTTGAGGTAAAAATCTTCAAATTCCAATTAGGTTAGGTACAAAGGTCTTAAGTTATCTAAATATGTTTAAGTGCCTCTCAGTCCATTATATAAAAGTTTTGTTATGTATTGTAATAAATTCCCAATTTTAACCAATTTTTAGGTGTATGTATAGGTATACAATGTGTATAGAAATAAATTTAAAAAAAGTTGTTTCGTCCAGCTCCCTTGTATTTTGTTTTTGAGGATAATTACACGAAAAATTAGATTTTCCATATTTTATCCGAAAATATTGTTAAGTAATACTCGTACTTAAACCTAAACAAACATGAAAATATAATATTGGGGTTTTTCTATAGCCCTCGATCCTGTATTGTAGTAAAACTGGATGTTGCAGCTCATGAAATTTCACAGGAGACTGGTTGAATTTGGGCAAATTAGGAATGTACAGGACATTCAGTATCTACCAAAAGTTTCGTTCTAAATGAGACCATCTTCAAGGTACTAGAGTGCAAGATATAAATTTCAGTAATTTTTTCTTCGTAAAAGCAACATAAAGCTCAGCAAATATAACAAACATAAATTATAGGTACTAGATTTCATAATAGATAGGAACTTATTAACATTATTTTATTCTCAAACATAATTTAGGTGACAATTATTTTTATAATTTTATGAGTATCAATATTGTAAATGTTCTGTAAACAAATTCTAGATAAGGATGAATTAAAATAAAATAAATATCCATATATAGATTTACGTTTGGCCAATGAAAAAATTTCACTCCAGATATCACGTGAAAAAAAAAATATATAAAATCGCTAGCAGGCGTCGATTTTTGATCTTAGGGGGACAATATATTTCTGTACTTTAAAATTCTCAACTTCAACCCCTCAGCAAGGTTGATTTCTACACACTTACAACTTTTAATCGAACAGGAGAACGGTCGACTGAGTGATATTCAGATAGGGTGTGTTAACAGTAAATAGGTCTCTGTTGGAGCCTCCGAATCTTTATCAGTGGACTGTATCCCAAATAGCAGCCAACTCTGCCATTTCCCTAAAATTTACCTAAAAATTGCTGCTCACTCCAATTAGTTCCACTTAAAATCCAACAACATTTGATGGGATGGAACATCTATTTAACTTGATTTTCTATAAATTGCTTCCGGTGATTACATGGAGCAGTTTCACAGATATCACAGATATATTTTTTTTACAATTACAATACATATTATTTTTTCTATGGTTTCTAGACAAACGAATAAAGGTATGTTAGAAAGATTTTTTTCAGGTAATGACCAACGTGAATACAGGAACACAACGGTCCCTGTTTGGGTATCGACCCACTGAGCAGTGGACCCAGACTTCCCGTGCCTTGACGCGTTTCGTCCTTGTTAGGACTCATCAGAAGGACATAGGCTGAAGCTCCCTGTCCAAGCACAAATGAACGAAAGCTCAGACCAATCAGTGTAGTTCAACGCCGGTAGGGGTATTTGCCCTCGGAGTAGTTTGTTTCTGACTGGTCAACGACGTTCGAATAAAGGTATACCTAACAACAAGAACATAATGCGATGGGATGAGGTGATGACAGGTTTTTCCAATAAGGCATCGATTACACTCAAAGGCAAGCCCGTGTAGGTTTGTCTGTCAGTGATATCAGAAATAATGATAATTTTGATTATATTTTAAATTCAAATTCAACTCCCAACAGTCTCTAATATCACCATATTTAGTTTCCATGTCTAATCCACATATTTTTGCCTCGCGGTGTATATTGTTCTAGCATGAGATAAACGAATAACTACCTACTTGAATAATGACAAGATGACAAGTCTCAAGTTTTGCCAGAAAAACGAATTTTGTTCAGGGAAATTAAATGTTTAGGTATATTTTCCAAATTAGCAAAGCAACCAAATTATTTCAGGCATTAGGTACTTGCAAAAATTGTTTGTAAAATGAATATGGATGATGCACTAGAATAAAGTTTTCAATAAATTCAAATTTCTTTTCAGGTTAAATCTTCCCAAAGAAATAATGGGGTTTTCTGACTTTGACATACCTGCCCGAGAAAATTGTTATTTGACGCAACCTGAGATGTTAGACTTTCTCAAACTCTATGCAGAGACTTTTGACTTAATCAAATACATTAAGGTATTTGATTAGTTTTTAATAATATGTTCGAAATTTTCATTAACTCATATATTTTAGTTTAATACAATGGTAATGGATATTTCTCCAGTTGACGATAAATGGAAAGTAACTACAGTTTATAAGCCTACTAAGAAAGAGACCACAGATGTGTACGATTCTGTTATTATTTGCAATGGTCACTATAATAATCCCATAATACCCACACTACAAGGTAAGGATTTTCAGAAACACTTAATTTCCGTTTGATCCATGGTATGTAGGTATATGTTGATATATGATATGTACAAAAGCAACAAAATGAAATTATGTCAGCAGACGGCCCCTATTGAGAATATTCTTCATCTCTCAACTCCGAGTAGGTATACTCAATTTATTTTTTAGACTCTTGTCCAGTCCAAACATTCGAGCCTCCAGCGGTACATCCAGATAATAAGTTTCTTTTTCTTTCGGTGCCGCGCCTGTCTTTAAGCGTGGCGTGGGCTATCTCCATGACAATCTTGATAAATTGTTCTCTATCTGTCGCTACTCGAAATAGTTGTTCCACTCCCAGTCCGGAACCATAGGCGCCGGAATTTCAAAATTACAGTGGGGACTCGGGCTCCAAAAATTACCAGAAGCAGAATTAATTATACAGACAGGACTAGACTACTAAACACATAGGCTTGAATGGGACCAGTTGACAGATAACAATTTCACTGCAGGATCGCCACGCTGGATGATTGATCGTCCCTGCACTGCATATTATTAAAATTCGTGGATTTCCGGCAGCTCGGCTATATTCGAATATTCAATTTCGGCAGCACCATTGGAGTAGCCAGGATTTTGTCTTGAGGAGAGGGCAAATTTCTATGAAGAAATTCTTGAAGCTCCGCCGCGGGCGCGAAATTTTGATCTTTTTACGGTATTTTTGGGACTCTTAATGGTGGGGGCAAGCGGGGATGCGGCCATTTTCACAAATTTTGATTAGAATTTATAGTAGGTAGGTACTTTTATAATAATATCATATTATATCAAGGTAAAATCATATTTAGGAGATATTTGGGTTCCCCTTTAGACCGTCATGACAAAAAAATTCAAAACAGCCTTTATTTTTATTTTTCCAAATTTCAAAGCATCCTAGCTGGAAAACAGAGAGCCTGTGAGAAAAACCCTAGATAGAAAACCTTTAGATTTCATTGAAAACTACAAAAAAGCATATTAGAGTTACCCTTCCACGGGGCACCATTTTTGAAAAAATCGACTTCAATACTTTAATAGTTATTTATGTACCAAGGCTTGTAAGTGTTACTTTTTTGGCCGAGGATGCAGTTTGCGCGCCGAGGCCCGTAGGGCCGAGGTTTGCAAGCATTTGAGGCCAAAAAAGTACACGCTACAAGTCGAGGTGCATATGATATTTTTTGTGCTACCGTACATTCAAGATAATAAATATCATTCCAATATTTTAAGTTCTTCAATACAGGAAAGTATCCCTGTGTTAAATGTGACTAGTTGTAAAAATATTTCTTTTACTTTCAAAATTACAAAGTAAATAACTATGAAGTATCTCATTTTTATATTATTACCTATCTGTTTATGCTAATTTCAACTTTTTGACGTCTAGGTATTTTCTATTTGTTTCAATAAAATTGTATCCTTAATTTGTTTTGGGTTTTTTATTTAAGAAATCGAGTGTTTTTGTGACATTATTTTGACAGATATATGAACCAAGCAATTTTCACCTTTCATATCAACACTTTTTTGGCCTGGTCAAAAAAGTAACTTTTTTGGCCCGGTCAAAAAAGTAACTTTTTTGACCCGGACTGTAAGTGACACTTACAGTTCATGGACGTAGGTCAAAAAAGTCAACTTACAGAATGGGTAGCACAAAAATAAATTTTTAGAGAAATTTCAATTTTGACGGCTTATATCTCGGAGACAGAAACAGCCTGGAATATCAATAAAAAAAAAATTGTAGGTTATTTATTGCTCTTTTGAAGGAAAACTGATTCGAGACAATCGGTTCGAAATTACCAAAGTTATAAGCGAAAAAGTGGCGCCGTGTCAGGTCTCCAAAATTTTCCAGGATCAAAATCTTTTTTATTTTTTTTCGGGCTTACAAAGCGTCGGAGCGAAAAATACCAGGAAATATTTTCGACGTATTTTTGGCTCCTCTATCCGATGGTATTTTTTATTTCTCAAAACTCAGAAAAGTAAATGCACCATTACACGCCCTTTTCCAAAATTGGGGAAATAGGGGCTAAAACCCCTCCGGTAGGTCGGAGAGGGCTGAAACTTGGAATATCAACTTTTCTGGACCCTTTCACCTATATTCTGAATTTCATCCGAAACAACAAAAAAATAAATATATCTATATGTATTTAGGGGTCCCCTAGGGGGCTTTGCTTTCCAGATAGGGTCCCCACGTATTTATTTTTTTTTTCGATAAAACTCGTACTCCACTAGATTCGTACCAAATTTCAGCTCGATAGGATCATCCATTCGCCCTCGGTGGATTTTTGAATTTTGATTTCGCATACGTGATATCGTCCACTGGACAAGTTTTTGCAAACTTCGCACAATCTTCACCTAGTAGAGTAATATGGAGGGATTTTCTTTTGGATTTTTTGAATTTAATCCATGATTAAAAATTCAAATTAAATTTGATCTCCGATTGAATCAAAAGTTGGTGTCAAATGATAGCCTATGAAAATCCAAGATAGGAATGAAAAATCGGTTTTCCTTTAAAATTAACCGTTTAGATTTTACAGCCTCTCAAAGTTTGTAACGCTCTTTTGTCGAAACAAAAGAATGCTCATAATTGTGCTCGACTATGCTCAGTGGTTGTTTAGCTTGGGGTGGTCCTTGGTGTTGGTACAGTAAAGAGAGGGCGCCACTAGTTTGTATAAAATTATTTTGATTACCCAAGAATAGCCAAACTAGACACTATTCGAATAATTAATTATTGTTTAAAAAGATAAATACAGAAAACTGAAAAGGTAAAATAAATCCAATACCTATCTGATATTTAACCCATTCAATAAAAACACAAGTTTTGGAATTCTAAAAACAATAATTTATTAACCAAATGGCAAACTTGTTGTTCTTTAACAGTTTGTTGACCGGATGGCGAACTTGTTCATTAATGTTCTATGTTCATTAACATTGAAACAAATAAATTGTTTAAAGGTGATTATTGTCAGTATCCAATTTTATAAAAAAATTATAAGTAGTTTACCGAAAGCAATACTTAATTTGAATAGGTATATAAAAAGATTGAAATTTAATAGTTATTTATACACCAAGTGAGTTAAATGAATGTTTATTCATGAGAAGAAAGTTAAACCCACGAGCCCCAGCGAGTGGGTTGATTTTCTTCGAATGAATAAACATTTTAACTCACGTGATGTATACAAAATTTTATCCCATTTTGATAGACATTTAAAAAATTAGGTACTTAATAGGAATCAAATTAAAAAAAGAATTCATTCAGCGAGCGCTAATGTCTAATACCTATTGAAACCGGTAGTTGCTAGGGTATAGCTATAGTTGTTTGTTTGTATTTGTAACAGATTTTTGTACTGGCAGAGTGACTTAAAAGACCGAGAGTGAGTTAATAGTTATTTATGATATAAGTGTTAAAAGTACATTTTTAAAGCACGCATGTGAAAGTTCAAAGTCACATAAGTGCCTTAAAAATACTTTTAACACAAATATCATACAATATTTTTTCTACAAACGGCAATAAAAAGCAATAACCAATAACAAATTGGATTTTTAAATGAATAATAAATTGGAAGCACCTTTACTACATAAAATTATTGAATTTGACATTTGTCAAAAAGTTTAAATAACCAGCACCTTGTTTTACAGGTAATGAAATGTCTTGTCAGTTTCTTGAAAGTCTGTCGTGGTCAGTAATGCTTTTTGCTTAAAATGCAACAAAATACAGAAAAAAAGGGGGTTGCATCGATCCCTTGAAAAATATAGATGAGGCGGCCAACTGGCTACCCCAGTTGTTCAAATTTCACCATTAATATCAATGTAAATAACTAAAAATACAAACTATTTTTGACGTTCGCTCTCAAAATTTGATGTTTAATTTTTAACACTAGTGCTATAAAGACTTTATGGCACTAGTGCGATAAAGTAACATTTTTAATGCTTCGGGGGGGCGTTAAAAATTGCATTTTTAACAAGTTTGTAGAAAAAAATATTTTAAATCACTCAGGAAATAAACGTCTACTTACCTTTAATATTATGCGTTCAATAATGTCATTTTTAAACGTCAAAATGGAATAAAAACAATTAAATCAATACCTTCGATGAGCATTACCTAAGTATAAATGTTGAAGTCGAAATAAAATTAACCTTCAATTTTTGACTCAAAGTCATTCAAATCAATAAAAAAACAAATCAATAAATGCAGAAAGGTAATAAATAATCCCTAGGGAGTTATAAATGCCAAAGACAGGCTATATGAATCAAGGATATCGGGGAGAGCTCTACCGTCTTACCTGTAATTAAATTCAAAAAATGTAAACATAAAACCTAACTTTGACTACCTAAAGATTTTACATTGGTTTACCTTGTAAAACTACCACCTTATTGATTTGAAATTAAAAGATGAATTAACCTTTTAAAGGTTAATGAACCCACAATATATTATATCGATCAGTACTCGATTCTTTTGTTTCGACAAGAGAGCGTTACAATCGCATTTATCAAAAAATTACATAACAAAAAAAAAATTACAGAGAATCCTCGTCAGAGCTGTTCATCTTAAAGAATTTAAATTTTATGAGAAAGTTTGTAGATTCTTGCATATAAATAGAGAACAAATCTGACAATGTGTCAAAGTTAATTATATTTGGTGTTTGTTAGTCTATGGTGTTTGTATAGATGTTGGCTGATATAGAAACAGGAAAAATTTGTCATCATGTGTCAAAGTCGACAGGTGCACTTATTGTTGCTTGACAATTATTTTTACTTTTCGGCACTCAGTGCGGATACAGGCCTTATCCGCACTGAGTGCGGAAATGTGTAACTTTGAGCACCGAAATGCGTGCGGAAAAGTACTACTTTGGGCACGCTCGTAGAAAAAAAATGTATCTCAAATTGGTAAATATAAAGATACAAATATTAACTTTCATCTCGTAAAAAAAATTGTGTTCCCACCTCGTGCGGAAAGTTTCTTTTGCTCACTTGATTGCTTGCCGAAGTCCGCTACGCGTC